AAAATGATCTCATCTGTTAAAATCAAAAGAGACACTAGGAAATTGCTATTACTATAAATATTTAAAACAACTGTGTAACTGTAACAGAATCTCTTAAAAGTGGAACAGGTTTTCTTTACAAAATGGATTGGTACAAACTTCTAAAACATCTGGCCTGCAAATCATGCTCATCCTATATTCCGAGACCACCAAATTTTCCAAATATCTTCCTCCTCCTTCCTGTGTCAAACAAAGATGTAACAATTAGTATAATACTGGAAGCAGAGAAATCTTTAAATAAATCCATGTTGCCTCATTCAAGAGCAATTTACCTTTACAATCCTCTAAATGAACCAGTAAAGTTGAAGGCTTTATTTGTAAGACTGCCAAACTTACACATCAAGCTGCCAGCCCAGCCGTTTTTTGCAGAGGGCTTTGAGTCTTTTTTTCTCCACTGTCCTCACAGGTGGGGAAAACTCCAACCCTTCCCTCACTTTAATCCCACTGCTAGCCAGGCCATTCAGCAGCTGTTCACACACAGCTATGTTCTCTGCAGCACCTGGGAACTTAAGAGCACTGTATCTGGAAGAAATACAGTACTTGCAAGATTAGCATTTTCTTTATGTGATACTGTGTAATATAAGTGTGCATCACTACAACATATGGCTGTAAAAATGAAGCATATTTCATCAACATCACTTAAAGGTGATGGCCAAAGTAGGAAAACAATTTCAATTTTTTTGCCAAAACTTACTTTTTGCTAGTACGTGATAAATGACAACTGAAGTTAATGAGAAAATTATTTTTTGTTTGCCAGTGAAGTGCAACTGCCACAGGACAAATTTAAATCTTGGAAAGAAGAGAAGAGAAGAGAAAAGAGAGAGAGAGAAGAGAAGAGAAGAGAAGAGAAGAGAAGAGAGAAGAGAAGAAAAGAGAGAGAGAGAAGAGAAGAGAAGAGAAGAGAAGAGAAGAGAGAAGAGAAGAGAAGAGAAGAGAGAAGAAAGAGAGAGAGAGAAGAGAGAAGATAGAAGAGAGAAGATAGAAGAGAGAAAAGAGAAAAGAAGAGGAGAGAAAGATAAAGAAAAAAGGAAGAAAGAGAGAAAACTCACAGACACAGAGCATTCCATCATACTAAGCTATCCCTACCTCCTTTCATATGATAAGAAGTCTTTGAGAACATTCTTTTTTCTTCATTCACTTTCATTCATTAATACTCTAATTTACAATTCAATTCTCTTAATATTCTTCTCTCTCCCTCTCATTCATTCTTGCTCTGCCTTTTATTTCTCATTCATTCATTAACTCACTTACTCACTCACGCTCTCTCTCTCTCTCCCTTATTTATAAATTCATTCATTCACTCATCTTTTTTCCCTTTCTTTGTCTTTCATTCATTCACTCTTATCTTTTTTCCCTTTCTTTATTTTCATTCATTCACTCTTTTTTTTTTACCCTTTCTTTGTCTTTCATTAATTAATTAATCAATATTCTTCTCTCCTCCTTTCTGTCTGTTTGGTGTGAACCTTAGGCATGACTGGCTTGTCTCAGCATTTGTTTTGCTCAAAATGATTGGATTTGCTTGCTTGATCATACTTACTTTATGGGCTATTTCTTTCAAAGAACTAATCAGGTCAAACATGGTCAGACCCATTTTCTTTTTTGACCAACTGGACAATCTTAATTGCAATTTTTTTTAAGGGAGTTATTTTTTATTTTTTTATTTTTTTGGTCAGGGGACAACTGGAAAGAATTAAAATAAAACAGAGTTGGTTTGCGGGAGATCGTGAGCGTATGAGGCGGTCCGAATAATGGCTAAATTGATGGGCAGTATAATAGTTGGATAATTAACTGTGCCGATGAATTGTTCGTGCTTGAACCTGTCTCTAAACGAGCTTAACCTATTGTTGATGAAAATAATAAACTTAAGCCTAGACATGGACAAAATAATAATGGCACTAGCTGGCTATCACCCGGAAAAAAATCAATCAAACACATCTCTAACTTTATTAACCTTGTCAGTTATCAGTATAGTGTTAGAATCACAACTTTTCCTAGTATTAATCCTTACTATTACCATCAGTGCTTTATGTCAAAATCAGGCTTGCAGCTGTCTATTCTCATACACAGAATACAATTTTATATACAGTCAATTTCTACATACCCCTGGTGGTCGCCAACAGGTTGTAGTGCTTTGACAGCCTGGCACACCCAGTCCACTCCTGTTTCATCTGTGCAGTTAAGAGTCAGGTCCAAGATCGGCACGGCTGGTAGTGGTTTCATTATCGACAAAGCTATTCTTCCCTTGATATGCAACCCTGAAGAAAATTATTTTAACCCATTCACGCCGGGTAAAAATGAACAAAAAATGGGGAAAATGCTGTGCTCATTTTTTTTATTTTTTTGTGAAATGTCTCTACACTAGATGGCTCTGCCTTACTTGATTTCACCTTTACTTGAATTGGCGGGAAAATGTATTTTTACTAGTGCTATGAATACCGATGGTTATTTTTATTATAAACAT